GAGGCTTATTTTTCTGTGTTTGTTTCCTGCTTAGGTAATTTTCTAAACAGAGGAGTCCTTTTGGGGAGGCGGTGAAGGAAATGATCTGGGCTTGATCTCGTGGGTGAGATTCCTCAGATCGGACTCCGATCTGTTACCCAGAAAGCTCTGCCATGCTTGTTTCTTTTGACTTCTGTTCTGTGATTTGCTCTTATGATGTTTAAGTTTGTATGTGTTTACTGAAAATCAATGAAAAAAAAATGTCCAGTTCATTTGTCTGATGAATGTGTCTTTTATTTTTCTGTTGGTGAATATGATTTAATTTTATGAACGTGTTCTTTTTTTTTTTTTTTGTAATAGATGAACCCTAAGTTTCATTTGTTGCTGTGCAGATTCTATATCTGTTTCTGTCTTGCTTGATCTGTTTTTTTTTTTATGTTGGTGAATTGTTTTGTGTTTTTGGGTCAGGTTAATCCGACCCGACCCGATCTAAGTATGTCGGTCATAAAACAAAAAGAACTAAAAAAAAATGTAAATAAAATATTAATTGATTAGGATAATCACTTTAATTTATGATTAATGAAATTAATTAATTTTAATTAAAGTAAATTAATTATGTTTATTGGTCTTAATTTAAGACAATTAAATTTATTTAATTATCTTGATTAGAGATTAATAGATGTGATTAATTAATTTTAATTAATGTTGAATAAATCTTTCAATTAAATTGATTATCATAATTAATTAATTTCAACATTTTTTTTTCTTCCTCAAAAGTCGAGGTTATCTCTTTTTTATTTCAATTTCACCCAAAATTTTTTACAATTTAGCAATTTAGTTCAAAAGTTTCAAACCTTTTCAAATCAGTCCATTTAATTTTTATTTGTGCTAATTGTGTATACATGTCTTTTATTTTGTCCATTTTAGTCCAAAAATTAAAAAAAGTTTCAATTTGGTTTATCCCTTTTTAAAGTTTCATTATTAAGACTTAAACATAAAGATAATAAATAAGTTGAATTAAATCTCTCAATGTTAAAGTATGCAACCGTGTTTAAACAGAGGATTGTGAAGTGCATGTATGCCTTTCCTCACTCTTAACCGAACTCTCGAACCCCGATCTTTGCGCAGACCCGTTTTAGGTGACTTGTCCCACCTTATAATTTGGACGAGTGGTGACTTCTCTTTCTTTTTATATTTTACACTTTTTAATCTTAATTTTTCATTCATTTTGAAATCTTAAGTGGTCGTCAACAAAATGGTATTTAAACCAAATAATAATTAGTAAACTTATTAAAAAATATCAATAATAAAATATCACCAAAATTGGCATAAAAATGTTACTTTAAGTTGATTCATGTCTTTACAAAAAGTAAATTAACCATACAGTAGAGATATGCATAGCATATCGCCCCCAACATGCTACAGTTTTATAATAACACTCTATGAATCTATATTAGCTATAGAGTTACCTAACTTTAAACACCCTTCCTTGCCCAAGAAGATAGAGTAGCGTAAGAAGGTAGAAAAATGTGGAGAAACATCACTACAGTAGAGCAAAATGACATATCCTATTTATAGGGCTCATGGTCATATAACTCCCATTTGTAAATTAATGATAGAAATAAATTAGGCAATTATTATGAAATAATATGCTATTAAGCAGGGTAATTAACTTACAACGGTTAGTTTGACCAAATTCTTAATATGATAAAAATTAAATTTATAAAATATATTATTTTATTTTTATTAAAATATTTACGTTCCAACAATTCTCCCATTATTTTAATAAAAATAAACCTTTCTTTTGGGTAAAGATAGATTATTATGCATAATAAAAGTAGCTAAGCCTTAAACCTTTACTTAGTGAGTCAACAATTCTACATCCAAAGTCACTAGTGAATTAGGTTTTGAACTATGATCCCATAGGAAGATACAAGAATTATATCGCACACATAATGATCCGAATGTTGAGTTTTTCACATAATTGGCACATTATGACCTTGTGCATGATCTTGGTTTTGATGGGTGATCTAGAAAGTTGCCCATTTAATTTTCATAGAAGCAATCTTACTTCAACACCCACATAGGTGAAATTTGTCAAGAATGCTCTCATAACTAAGACATTCACTCATTGAGCTACAAATTTCATTAAGAGTATATAACTCAACTCTCAATTCATTATGGGATAGATGCATCCTCACTTTAGGAATGGGACCCAAAATTTTTTTTGTTAAATATTGATGTATCTTTTAACAATGACTTCTTTATGATTCGTTTTTTCCATTCAAAACCCAATTATTAGAATTCGGGTTGAGTATCCTCATAGGAAGTTCTACAATATTGGGCTTGAATCCCATTCCCCTCAATAAGCACTAGACCTTTGACTATGATCATAGTTTTCCCTCTAACCTTTCTCTTTACCAAAGGCCTAATTGGCGATAAAGTGGGTAACAAAGAGATTTAACTAATTCTTTTTTCACACTTTTCTTTTGACATCAACCCACATGTTTACTAACTCATAAAATTCACATTCATGTTTCTCAAATTCACAATTCATGATACCACAATTTCTTATCTTGAGTTAGTGAACCACCATTTTCCTTCAACACCTGTAGAGACAAGTAATTAGGAATTTTTAACTCAAATACTATTGTATCATATTAAACAATAGGAATGTCTATCATAGCATTGCCCTTCTATGCAAGTAGAGTGCCTTATTCTTTTTCATCATACACCATTATACCATAATTGTATAATACTACTACATATCACATTTGCTTTGTTAAGCATCATTATACCTTATTGTATAATAAGAATGCTATATAAAATTCTAGTTAGGCACCATTGGTCTCATCACCAATAACAATACATAGGGGTATCATAATCCCTCACATTGAAAGCATCTCAAATATGTGATTTTCCAATTTCTCAAATGATTGAGGTTATAGAAAAACTCTTTTTCTCACAAGATTTCATAAGAGCATTAGTTCATCTCACATTTTATCACTACAAATG